ATCGCAGCTCTGCTTTTTCTTGATTTAGTTTTGTCTTTACATTTTGCTTTGATTTCCTCAGATGCAGCTCACCAGCGGGCATGAAGTATTTATTATTGATATTGGATGTAAGCCCTCTCCTCTCTACTTGTATGACTTTCTTTAATAAGGTCTTTTGCCTGAGTGCTTTCATCCTCCTAGGATGTCCAGTTTCCCTCTGGGCCTTTTTATCAAATTCTGAAAAGGATCATGAACTAAAAACCTGTGTGTGTAAAAGCACACAGGTTATAAGAGGAAGGAAAAACATTTTCTGATGAAAACAGCCTTGCTTTCATCGAAATCTGCAGCCAGTAGATGGGACGATACAACCTTTTTTATATTATGTAATTTTGTTTGTTTGGGGATTTTAGGACAGAAAGGATTCATTTCAGTTTTCTGGAATAGGTATTACTGTGTTAGAAGTTCATAGACCAGCATGGCCTGCAAAACATTCCAGTGGCCAGAAATAGTGTGCTTTTCTAGGCCAAATTACCTGCAAAATCATTAGAAGTGTGATTTACACACCTGCTTGTCTTCACATCAGCACAAGCAAGGCTCACCTGCTTGCTTGGATTGGCGTAATGTGAGCCTTGTTTCCCCTGCCTGTCCTGGGATTACCTTAGCATCCTTTTCTGCAGGAGCGTCCTGTAATCAAGAGGATTCCTCGCACCAGGGTCGTGTTCCAAAATGTTCCAACCGGAAGCTGTCTTTTATTGGAATATTAATATTGAATTAATAGGATATTGAGGGGTGGGGGATTGTAGTGTGGATTAATACTGCAGCTGAAGGAGGGTTTCCCCCTGCAGAATAGAGACCCTGCGGTCTTACTGAATAATAAAAGGGCTGTCAGAAGTCATCAGCGTGGTGTGTGAACACCTGGTGACAGTAAGAGCAGCAAGTGCGTACAGAAGCCTTAGGAGATTCCTGGGTCCTTGATTTATCCCAGACGGACCTCTTAAAAGCTCAGTGCACCACCTACGCAAACAAGCGAGCCGTCTCGTCCTCCACTCTTCTGCTGGTGTGCCACGGACCCCTGCAGCCCCAAAGAGACCCGGGATCTCTTCCCTGCCCGGGCTTCAGAATGGAGATCTCACCCGGGGAGCTGGACAGTGTTGTGGTCACTACATAAAGCAATAAGGGTTAAGAATAGAGGGCAGGTTTGTTGGGGCACATTTGGTTGCTAGCAGCCAATGCATTCCAAATTCATGCCCATCCCTTTTCATCCCACCATCTTTGTCTTAATCTCAGTCTTTTCTGACAAATGAGCTATGCTACATTTAATCTCGGCTAATTTGATCACTATCCACCAAACAAGGCAAATTTTAGAAATAACACCATTTGCATCTGTGCAAATGCAGGGTTTCCTTGATTTTTATGTTCTGGAAAGCTGAGTGACCGAACTAGACAGAAGGCGCTGAAAGCTACTGCTTTATTGCCCTGTCAGGACACACAAATCCTGCTTAATGCTCGCTCTCACTAGGTTTTGTCACATCAGCTAAAACCTGCAAGGACACCTATGGCGCTGAGAGCTTTTTTTTTTCTCTGCATGTCTTCCAAGTTTTGCAGAATGTTTTAGCGGAGTACCACAAAGCCTCTTGTCACAGCATCGCTTTCTAAAGCAAGTTGCGGTATGATAACGTTTTTTAAGGTACCGGGGTGACCGAAAAATTTCAACCTGTCCCCAGAAACCAAAGAGGGTTTCACAGAGTGGGGTTGGACTATCTGCAGTCAATAAGGGTTTGCATACAGGGAGGGAGGGGGAATGTGAAGTGAAATCTGTATGAGTGAAAACAAAGACATTCAGAAGTAAGACACTAAATTATTTAAGATTGCTCTGTATCCATTTCCTGCCCTGGGTTTGCCTGGGAGTACTGGGGCAAAAGTACTTCCCAGAGAGCCAGGCAGTTGTCCATTTCACTCCCGAGTCCCAGTTTCCTGGAGGGTAAGGACAACCGATGGTAAAGAAGGCTCTTATAGCGGAATAACACAACGCAGGAGGACTGCGTGTTCCATGCCTTGCGGAATTCAGCGCAACAGGAGGTTTGTTTGACTGAAGTCAATCCTTTGTGCTTCATTGTTTGACTTTCTGCACACTACAGCGTTGTAATTTTTTTTTTATTATTATTATTATTATTGTCGGTCGGATTTAAGGTGGGTTTGTGCAATTCCATCTCGCCACCATCACGCTCATGGGTTCTGTGAGCTGTTGCAGAAGGAAATAAGCACCTTTCGACACCACGCGCTGTGTCCTGAACGCTCTTTGATGTTTACAGTTGATCTTTGCTGCCAATTGTCGTGTGGTCTGGGACCCATTTCTGCCCCTTTGTGCACGTGTATATACCATTTCCCTTGTGCATTTCTGCTCCAGTGGAACAGTCGTTTTAGCATCTGTGTTTTGTGTTCCGAAGGGCCGCTGGCTGACAGCCAGAGCCAAGTATTGTTCCTTTGTGCTGCCGTGTGAATGTTGGGAGACGAGAGATGCATGGAAAACAGGTGTCTGCGATGCATTAGGAACTGTAAAATGGTTTGTCCTTTGGTTGTTTAAATGATTCGCTGTGTAATTTATATTCCCTTGTGAATTATGTAAGTTAATTTAGCTGTCAATTCAATTCATGGTTTCATTATAAATTAGAATAATTTCATTTTTCTCCTTAAAATAGGAATTGAAATGGGGGGGGGGGTATTTCTTATTTTTTGTACCTATGTATGTACAAATTAAGTCATGACTATAAATAAAATATATAATTAAGAAAGGATAAGAGGATGTCTTTTTTTTTCTAAAGACTATTGTCAGGTTGTGTACGTTTTCAGTGTGGCGTCATATCAGTGAAGTTGTGTTCAAGTTACTGTATAGAATATGCATGATATATACAGTACATTAGTTGTGTTTTGTTACTTTAAAACGCGTAAAATGTGTGGCTCAGTCTTTGAAATTAAGGTTAGAGCTCCGGGCTATTAGATTATGGTATATCAGAATCTGAGATTTCAAAGAAATTGTTTTGAAAAAAGACCGCAAAATCCAATCAAACAGCGGCATGGACGAGAATCATAAAGAAATCCCCTGTGCTCTTATTATCCCTTTCTCGTGGGGACACCAATGTCCCAGATTGGAAGTTGCTCGTACATGCGTGAAGCGCGCTCGGCCCAGCCCTGGGCCACAGGGAAACTGCCGCTGTAACGCACGGCCCGATGTGCAGGGACTGCGCCGCGGCTCGGCTACTGTATATACACGGGCAACATCCACAGGCAATCTTGTTTACTGACAAATTATTCAGGTCGTGTAAAAAAAAAACCCCATTGTATCTGGCATTTAAATTGTTTGGGAATTGTTTTTTTTTTTACTTGAACCGTTAAGATTAACGTACTCTAATTAGCTTGCATTTTTGTCAGCTGATCACACTTAAAACTATTCTTGGAACATGGTTGTAATTTTTGGGAATTTGCATCGAGGAAAGGGAGGACAGATGTCCCAGCACATCAATTATGTACCAGGCTTTTATTTTTTGTAAAGGAAGGATCGGTTCTGGGCTGCCAACAGTCCCCTGTGAAGAGACTGTAGAGCCCCAAGGGAAACGGGTCCTGCAGGAGTACATGTGAGCTTTATCATTGTGTTGATGGAGATCGCCAGATCTTCCTCATCCCTGTAGCAGAGCTGCCGGAAGACTGCTTTCCCGAGTGCACTTGACCTGAGATTGTCAATGAGGATGTCCAGGAAATTTACAAGTGTAAGTTTTTCAGTCTGTGCATTTAATTTAATATGCTGTTACATGTTGCACTGCAGCAACTATTAATTTTTTTGTCTATTTTAGAATAGCACAGCGCTTGCCAACTGGTATACCTAAGGTAGATGCTGATGATTATACATCTTAGCATAGAGTGATAAATCTTAGAATCTCTTCCAAGGGACAGCACAGCTTGCTGTAAGCACTCTCAGCCTCTGCAGATCAGCACGGTGTACATACAGTAGTTGTTTATAAATGCTTACCGATATTGGTCTGTCATGAAAAATTGTCATGATATGTACATTCTTCCTTTTCTATACTATGTAATCACTATTCTATCAAAACATTTTCAAAATATTGTGAAAGGTCAAATAAAAGGCAAAAGAGCTCTCCTTGATAGTGGTGGCATAATTACAGGGTGAGACTAGAATGACAAAAATAATGTAAAGTATCACCAGCTGTAATTGTACAAACAGCTCCGTTTTTATGGCAGGACTTGTGCATGAGTTCTCCTTGCTACATTGGAAGTCGGTAGCTCTTTCTAGATATATGAATGCTTCTTTTCCCCACAATACCACATGACAAATTTCCATCTACAGGGGAAAAATGGAATACCAAATGAATTAGTATACGAATTAGTATACGTTTAATAATTAGTATAATTAGTAAACAAGCAGAAAATAAACCTAAACCTTAAACTATATGTTATTGTTTTGATCAAGCCCTTTTATAATAACTAATGAAATATAATGAAGAACAAGACTGGTGTTTACAAATCAATTAGGATGGTCATCCTGTGAAGATACAGCTTGACCATCAACTTATTTATGTTGTAAATTTACAACATAAGAGCAAATTATCAGTGGGGGGCAATGTTTTTGTGATTGCCTGTTAATTGAAAATACTGCTATGCTAGATCTATTTAGGTAGAAGCATTACATCTTTAAAAAAATACGCTATCATGCTCACATTGAACAGATGAAGCAAGATAAATTAGTCGGTTTGTACACTGCCGATTCGTAATTTGGCACCGCATTTTTTAAACATGGATCATGTTTTACAAAGATATTTTTGCCTCTAAGACCAGCTAAATATTGCAGTGCGACAGCTTCGGGGTTTTTTTTCCTGATGAATCCTACGACCGCAACTCACTTTTCAAGATGGACCAACTGGGAGACCCAGTGATGCAAAACTGTGATGTAAAATTAAGCAGGGAAGCCTTCTCCGTCCCCAGAGCACCGTGCTGCGATGAGGGCCGGTTGAGCGAGGCACAATCAAAATGCAGCGGATGCCATGTTCACACTCCTGTAGCTAGGGAAGGGCGGGGAGGCGCACAACCGGTCGGTGTCGGAGAATCTGGGCGAAACGAAACCGTTTCTGACAGCCCCTGTGCGCCAGCGTCCACGATTGCCAACGCAATCCTCACAAATCGTTTTACTTGCCCATTAGCAAGAACAGCCTTCGTTTCTGGGTGTCTAATGGCTAGATACACCCCTCCGTGCCCTACATTCCCCTCGTCCTAGGGAGCAGGTCTTCCCCCAACTGCATTTATCATCATCTCTCCAAACCCGGCAGTGCTGATCCAGACCGGGGGGTGCATTTCTCAGAATCCGAGATCTGTGTCTATTCACAGGACGCCTGCGTGCATTCAGAGAGCACAGGCGAAGGTTTCTTAAAATCGCTTTAATAACAGCACGATGCCGAAGAACCAAAATTGGCTATTATCGAGTCTGCTTCCACTGTAACTGGCTAGAGTGCGTCTCGTTGCTGTGTTTTAACTGGATGCGAGTCCTCTCGCCCCCTAGTTCTGATTCTGCTGATCCTTTGTAGGTGAAATCGGTCCTGATTTCTGAATACCGGGCAATTCTCCGTGCAGGTAGGTGATGCTTAACTGATTTTCTTTCAAGTGCGTCCTTATGTCCGTGACACGCTCAATGCAATACGAAGGAATAATGCCTACTCTGCAAGGTTAACACCTATAGCGAAGAACAAACATGGTTCTAGCTATTTAGCAAGCAAGTAGAAGGTGAAAATATACCGATTTTTCGCGGAGAGATCAAACAGCAATGAAATGTTCACGTTGAGCGCTGGAGACTGGAATTCGGTAAAACAATGGCAGTGAGTCAATTACTGGGTTTTGCCTTTTTGGATTACGTTTTTAATATATATATATAATATCTCCACTGTAAGTTGTGCCTTGGTAGCGCTACATTGAGGTGCTAGATTTGACTGGCAGTGCTGGTTGACCCATATAATTACTGTACGGCATGAAGAGGCTCCTCAGAAAATTGTAATGCCCTTTTGGAGGGTACAGTCGTAGTGCTGCTAGTTCATCCTCTAGTAGTAGGTAAATGGAGCCTTCGTGGATGTATGAAGAAATGGGGGAATGTGTATTGTGGATTCTCTCACGTCTATTTAAAAATTATCGATGTATTCCGTCTTTGAAGACATCTAGACGCGCCCCCCTCAAAGACGTTTCTTTTCAACATTTCATTTCGTCCTCCCTAAAGATTTATTCGAACCCCCACCCCTCGTGCATAATAAAGATCCTCATACTGTACTGTAGCCGACCGCGGCTTCGCCAAAAGATGAATTACCTGCTTTAAAATAGCTCGTCTGCAAACGCGAAGGAGATTTTATTTGTCGTGTTGCAAACATAGTGAAATTCCTATTCCTACAGCACGTTTCGCAGTGAACAGTGTTGTGTACTTGTTTTATGTTGCCTTTGTAAAGGTATTGTCAGGTTGCCGTATAACGTCGCTACACAAACGTTTTAAAATATAAGGCTCGGTCTGTCCAATCACATTGCTCCGTTTCACGGGAGTCGTATTTCCGAGTGGGAGCACAAATTGTCGCTGGTGTGTTTTACTTCGGTGTGTTTGAAATTGATCAAGATGTTGAATGATTTTAAGGGATTAAATTAGTTATAAATGAAATAAATCGAATGTTTTAATAATTCATTATCACACCAATTAAATGTGAATTCCAAACAATCTTTTAATATACTTCCATGCCGTTGGGTTACATGAAGTCATCTGCGTGAACTCTTATTTAATGTTTAGATTAATTTATCTTATATATACCTTGTGTTTTTCCTGCACAGTATCTCAGTTATACTTCTGTCCACACATGACCTCTAACCTCTGGACACCTGGACACCCGGTTCATCCATCAGCTTGTTCTGTGTTTCAGGAAAGCCTGTCATTTGTAGGGGCAGATGACTAAAATGATGAGTGTGATAATGTACCCTTCCTGTGTCTGCCATTACATAATCACAAAATAAGCATGCAGGCAACTAAATGACTTCATGTGATGTGTGATACCTTAACCTGAACTGCTCTTTCATTTGCTTGAAAAAGTGGGGTCAATGAGGAGTCCAGAGACAGTGGTTCTGAGTGCTTCTGGAGAAACTCAGCCCAGTTGGGTTTATATTACACCCTAAATCACTTGGAACGCTTTTAGGTTATTGATTCATTAAGCAAATCATTGACTGAAATGAAGAATTTCTAGTCCTTCAGGGTGTTTTGTTCCAACCGATCTCTAAATCCTCTCCTTCAAATGAGACAATGAGCTCAACCAAGCTGCTTGGTTGTTAAACATGCCCTGACAGTGTTCGTAAGAGCTGGGATATTAATCCTGGTGTCCTGGCTAGATTCTGCTCCTGTAATGTCGCCATCCTCACGTTGCCCCCTGAATTTCAGTTTCTCACTCCTCCAGCTGATCGGCGTTGTAGTGGTGCTGCTGGCATAGAAATGTTACTGCGTGTCAACACTGAGGCTGCCCAGTCTGCATCCAGCAGGTTTGCCGGAGATGTCAGGTGGATGTTGAGGAAAGCCAGTTATTTTTGTGGGATTGTGAGAGGTTACAGCATTAAGGCACTGTGGGGGACCTCTGACATGAGAACTGTAGAATGAACGACCTTTCTTCTTCGCATGAACTCACCAAACTTTGATTGTCTGCAAGACATGGGGGTTGGACAGCAAGGTGTGGCTGTCCTGCAGTAGAGGGAATCTGGCCTGGAAGGTGTTGTAGGTTTCAAGTCATTCTTGTAGAGAGAAGCCTACAAAAGAACGGCCTAGAATCCAGATTCCTCAAATCTCTTCTGGCTCAAGCGGCCTCCAGATTTTTGGATGTGGGTAGTGTTGTGGCTTCACTGAACTTGAGCCAAGAGGGTCACTAATGAGGAAGCAGGAGGAGCCAAGATTCAAGCTATTGTTGTGAAAAACAAGCACCACTGAGATGAAGTGATCATGGTTTTTTTTGTCTTCTGACACAAAAGCCTGTCAGCCTATGACTGTGTGAGCTGTGTTCTGTGACCATGGGGCTAAGTGCCATTAGATACAATTGTTAACATTTCTCTGAAATGTTATTTTATTTTTAATTAAAAAAAATATTGTAACAATTTTTGGTCCCAAAAGGATACGGAGCCTTTTCACAGCAGGCTTTTCCCCAGTTCGGTGTGATGTGTTTGTAAGAGACGATGGACTGAGAAATCAAGCCCATGTGTCTGCTTGAAGCTCGCACTGGTTCCCCACACTACCTTACAGAGGAAGAAATTCCTGAGATTCTTCAAGTGGGGGGCAGTGCAGTCATTAAACCTGTTTTAGCTCAGCAGGTGTCAAACAAGCTTGGATGAGCTCACTCTGGTGAACTAGCTTCATAATTATTTGGTCTTTGACATGAGTGGGTACTGGTAGCAAGAAATGATGGTCAGTCGAGAGCTTCTCTTACCAGCTCCTCTGCCTTAGGTTCCCATCTGCTAAAGCAATGCCGCCCAATACTCCCACAATTGCTGCTTCTTTTTAATCCCACCCCAATCATCTACTTTAAATTCACATGCAGCGCTTGCCACATGCAAACACGCCCATGCTTATATTTAACATGTGCTTGAAAATGCAATTATATTGCATGATTCAATGGAAGCATTGAGAAAGTAAATTGTTAGTGTTCTGGGTTGGATCCAAACCCTGGGCAGATGGGGAAGGATTGTAGGGCAGTTTTGGGAGTGCAGAAGCTGCAGGCACCATTGCTGTCCTGCAGCTTTTATGGCTATAGGCAAGAAAGGACTGGTGTAAAACCTAGAACATTTAATGTCAAATCTTATCCTAAAGATTGTCGCACATAGAGTATATCTGCCACCAGAGATTAAAACTGAAGGATTGTCACATACTTGCATTATGTGGGATTTCAGTTGTTTTTTTTTCAGAGAGGAACCTTCCTCATCTTGTATTGATCCCTTGAAACAAGCTGCTGAGGTCCTGTGTGCTACACAGCTGGCAAGTGTGACGCGCCAACTCAGTCGCCGTGTTAAAAATTGCTCCTGTTGTGTTAATGCAATTTTAAAAGTCATTTGCAGCCTGTATGCTTGATATCTCCACACAGGCGTTTAAAAGTAGCACAGGCACGGAGGCTGAATTATTTCAAGTGAGGCGTGTGCTTGCCTGCGAGCCTCTGCAAACTGGAACAGGGATCACTATGAAAACTAGTCCCTTGATCACAAGGAGCTGCATTAACAGGCATTAGGGCAAAAGGCTGCTTGAATTTCAAAGATAGCTAAGTGCTGTCAAGGTGCTTTCTTTTTTACTGTCAGCTGCAGAATGAACCCTCACTTTGTTAAAAATTGTGTATTTGACCCAACAGCATTCAGAGGGGGGGAAAGATGCAGATCTAGCCAGTTACAATTCACAGTTTCAGGTGTAAAATATTTTATCTAAACTGTAAATGAAGGGTCTTTTCTCCAAGCGTGCATTTTAGAACCAGCAATGACAGGATCTCTTTCCCTGACCTTTCAGGGCTTTGTTCATGAAGTCCGATCCTCTGGAGATCTGATGGCTCTTATTTCACTCAGGCGCTCATTTAGGGGAGTGAACCAATTTAATCATTTTCCCCAGCACCCAGTCATTTTAATAATTTTCCAAGTAGCAGAATTCTGATTCATTGATTTTCCTTGTGTTAGATTTGTATCTTCTAGGTTACTGGTGTTGTAGTGACATAAGCTACGTATGTAACAATGGGTGTGTTGAAATTTGTAATAAGCACTGAAGAGGAGAATTTGTCTACTGTATGATTACAACATCCAACAAGATATGAGGCAGTTACAAGTGATGACTGAATTTCATCAGAACAGGGAACACTTGAACAGCTCCTTGTCTGCTGCATCAGCATCACGTGTCCCCTGGGAGTTAAAGTGCTCCGGAATTCCCATACTCCCAGGCCTCAAAGCATTTTACTATGAGAACCATCTTCCTCTGAAATTCTCCTGAAATGTTGCGCAGTAAAGAGCTGGTTGCCTTAAATGCCTGACGCGTGGTGGAGTTGTGAAAAACACTGTCAGTGTGAAGCCTAGGTGGCGTGACCCGGCTGCTGCTTCTGTTTCGCCTTTGTGAGGCTCTTTCAGCTGTTATGCCGTTCAACAACGACACGTTGGAGTGGACGGCATGCAGCACGTTGCGCTGGCACTCGTTTCGATCTCCACGGAATGCTCCTACGCACTCGTGCGGAGCGGGAAGCGCTCGGAGGTGGTGACGGCGAGGAACGGTGCGTGCTCTTGGAGAGGAATGATGGTCATGGAATCCAGTCCCCGGCGTTTGTCGTTGTTTGTTTCTCGTTTCTACCGCTGCTGCTTGTCTGCTTGTCCTGATGCCTGCAGCGACTTTCCTCCAGAGTGTTTCCTAGGCAACATTTTCAATCAGCCTTTTTTTTCAGAGTCCTTGGGGCAGGGTTCAGTGACCCTAGCAGTGATGCCCACTAACTCTGCTTGCCCAAGTCCGGTTTCGTAAATTGATGTAGGTTGTGCACAGGCGTGCCATCTCTTGGATCCTATACCGCATGGTCCTCAGTATAAGGCACCCCACCCCCACACCCACACCCCTACAGCGCCTCCTACAGGCAGGCAAAGACATGCAGAGAGAGGGCGTTAATAACTGTGTGCCAGAAATGGAAGAGCAAAGAGAGCTGTGTCCAACTAATTAATCAAACTTGCAGAGATGTGTCTGTTTTTGTGATGTCACCGAGCTCTGTGATTGTGATGTCACCGAGCTCTGTGATTGTGATGTCACCGAGCTGTGTGTCTGTGATGTTATCTTCTCTGTTTAGGTAGCCACAATGAAGGACGGCATGGCCAACAACAGCACAGCCAGTATATCACAGGCCAGGAAGGCAGTGGAGCAGCTGAAGATGGAGGCCTGTATGGACAGAATGAAGGTACTGCCACTTTCTGACTGAGTGCACATATAAGTAGTGAGGACACTGCATTTGAAAGCTGACATTCTGTAATAATATCTGTGATTTTCAAATTCAGTGGAAAGATGTTGTCTTTTTAAAAGTATCATTAAAAAAACAATTCAGCTCTCATGGGCCATTTGAGTTAAGTTCTGTACTTTATTTTACTACATTTTGTACTAATATTGCAGATGGATCATGCTGTCTGTTGCTGCAAATAATGTTATGGTCAATCTAATTGCCCTGCCCTGTGATGACCAGCTTTCACCTACAGATTACTTTGTTTTGCCAAAGGCCATTTGCTAGACCACAGGGGTCTGCATATCGCTTATAATTGTACTTATGCAGCTAATTGTAACTCTGATGCTAGACCTAACCCAGTTTCTGGAAAACAAAACAACTTGAATGAGGTGAATAGAATACTTTAACTGTGGTTATTCACATGTTAAACTATGTTGCAGTTGTGTGAATAAGAGATCTCAGCTGTGTTACCGGTTCAGTGTGTGGGCAAATCACCCTTCTTTTTCTGTTGTATGAGAGATCAGTGTCTAGTCTTGCAAACATCTACAGCTATTGGATTACTAGTGGGTGCACGCGCCTTCGATTTCCTGTAACATCAGATCCCACAAGGACTCAGCCTTTCCTAAATTGAAGGTTCAGTTCCAGTTGCAGTGAGCTGAACAAGGCAAAGTTTTGAAAGAACTGATCCCAGGACATTAGTCACATTGGCTGTCTGTGCAGCACTGAGAGCAGACCTCCATTAGGCTGACAGAGGTGATGACTTTACTGGACACAGCACAGCTTGATACCCTGATAAACAGTGTAAGAGATACAACTAAAGGAAGGCCACCGAGATAAAGATCGGTAGATAGTTGCACTTGTTTTGCCTTTAACCAAGTCTATAAAGAATGAAAATCCAAGTAAAACAAAGATCATTCTATTCAGTGCACACTGCAACAAGACAAGCTGTCCTGTTTTTGATATTTTATGTTATCAAGCACATGCAACAGAGATACTGTCAGTGGTAGGAATCCAATTTCCTCACAAATAAACAAACAGATGGAAATGATCAAACCTGTATTTTCTGGTATGGTTTTATGAATGCTATAGAAAAATTAAGACTAAGGACTAAATATTGGTTGGATACAAAATACGTACATCCGACAGTCTGAGGATGTTTATCATGCCGATGCTGTTTTTATAGAGAAATCTTTTTACCCTCTGTTTTTGTATATGAAGTTCATTTTGTGGGGGATGGATACACCTTGATTTCAGAGACATGGAATTGTAGAAGCTTGGTCACATGAACTCTTTGAGTTTAGAAACACTGCAAGGTGAAACAGAACAGAGAAATCCTGCTCATATTTTTTCAGTGTTGTTTCTTTGTCTTGGAGTGCCTTACTGATTTTATACGGACACAGTTTATTACAAAGAATGTAGAAGATGCCTCGTGATGCTGTATGCTTAATGAAGCTGCTAGCATTATTAAAACTGACTGGAACCCTGCTCTCCAGGGCTGTGACATTATCTTAAAGCTCCTTAATTACATAACTGGTGTACAGTGTATCTCCCTCAGCTATTACCCTGTGTGTCAGGGGAAGGGCACTGTAATTACCAGAGTGAAAAGTATTCTACAAGTATATCATTTTTTCATTACACGTTGGCCTTTTTTTTTCCTATTTTTGTTCTTTCAAAGGACAAAAAAAATCTCCACTTTAGCTTAGACCCTGTTCTTTCTTTCTAAAAGGGTACTATTCACATTTTAGCTGCAAAACAAAATATATATGACTGGAGTGAATACCTTCACATTTTCTCATTTATAGACTGTGTGGCACATCACTGCAGGAAAATAAAACTTGTACAAGGCTAACTGCCCATTTAGGATTTGGACCAGACTGGAAGTCAGGGATAAGGGGCTTGTTTTACAGGAAAGGACTGCTGCCTTCTTCAGGTAGTCTCAGCTGTTTTGTGCCGTGTAGCAAGTTTAATAGTTTCTTTTTGCCTTTAGTTGTAATAACCCCCTACACACACACACACCCCTGCCAGGCGCTGTCTTTCTACTAGGGAGAACTGACTCTGGCCTCTTCCGCTCATCTCTAAATCTAATTATGGGGCTGCCAGTGGAAGGAGGTATCGATTGTAGGAACAAAGTACATGTTCAGCTGATAGCGGGTAGGAGTATTCATTATTTCCTCAATCGCATGGCGGAACGAGATATGTGGTAATTAGAGGGCCTCACCGCCATCGGTGCGGCATATAATTCTAGCTCATCCAACTAGATGACATGTCAGCCCAGGCACCAGCAGCAGATCTAGAGTCGCATTTGTAGCAGCAGGAAAGACGACACGGTGAGTTCAGAGACTCCTGCAGATCCGTGTTTATTGATTCTTTTTTTTTTTTTACCAGCTTCGGCTTTCGGATTTTAAAAGCGGAAGAACACCTGAGCTGACAGACACGTGCGTTGCTTGTTTGAAGCTTCGTGTGGAAAAGATAAATGTTTAAAAAAAAAACAAGGTCAGACATATATAGCCGTTCTCCAGGACTGCCTTGGAGGTCTCTCTGGCTGCAGTAAATGTACGTTTGTTCAGTTTTATGGGATTTCCTCAAATGCTAGGTGCAACACTGGACTATATAGGATAGCTCATTGGACCTCAACACATCCTGAATTTGAATTTCTTATAGGATGTAATACCTTGATGAGATACCCACGTTCTTCGGATTATTGAGTAATACATGACTAAGCTTTTAACAGGTAAAGCAGAATAAACTCCATACCACAGCTAGTCCTGGTTTCTGGAGCATAGGTGAATAGAGAGCAGGTGATTCCCCTGCATGAGACACTGGTCCATTGCAGGGATTACCTCATTCCCACTTAAACAGCTGGGTGGACTGGAGCAACTGGGGTGCGATACCTCACTCATGGTACCACTGTCTGCAGCGGAGACTCGAACCCACAACCTGCCAGTTATGAATCCTAAGGCTTTCCCACCACACTACTCTACCCCCAGGCCATTGAAGGCTAAACATAAAATTAAAAGGAAACAATGTCGTGAAGTTATCCCCCATCCCAAATAATCTGCCCATTCCCATACATTTCTAAACCCACCCTGGTCCCTAAAAATAAACACTGATCCCCCTGTCATTGATGGCATTGCAGCGCCAACATCGTCTCGCCCGCCCAGCTCAGAAGGAGGGGTGCTGTCACTCATGGCCACAGAGGGCTGTAGCAAACCCATATCCACATAGGTAGTCATGTAGAGTCAGCAGGAGAGCAAGAGTGGAGTGAACGAGCGCTTCACTTACACTTTTTCCAGCAATATGATCCAAACTGATGCTTCCTTGAGTGGAAGAGGGAAGAGGTGCGGAGTTATTGTTTAGCAGAAATGGGGAGAGCTTCAGACGAAGTTGGTTTTGACCCAACTGTGACATGACCAAAGCATAGGAATAAAAGCGCTGGGGTGCCATGGTAACAGAATCCATCAAGGAGCAGACTCCATTTTACATCCTCCCACACAGGGTTTGAGCAAAAAAAATCTGTGGCACATTTCAGAGAGGAATTTCTCGGTAGCTGTGTTTCCTGTGTATTTGCAGGGCGTTCCTCGCCCGTGATGCATTTTCATCTCCCGAGAGTTCGAAACGAAAGGGCACATCAGCAGCTGGAACACTGGCTCATCATTTCTAACAGTCCATTAAAAATAATGTTCGCGACAACCACACTAAGCTTGTGTCGGGCATTTCGACTTTTGAAACTGGAGGTGCTTTTGGTGGAGAGACGGACGATCAGTATGGTCTGGTCACATTGTTGGTCACTGTGAAGACTTCAGCTCCACTCACAGAGTTATGTCACTCATGTCTTCTGTAAGAAGGGTGTCGTCTGGTTGTCTGCGTGCCCAGCTCTTGAGCCAACAGTGAGCACCAGTTCGCTCACACTCAGACTCCTCACCCACCCTCACCAGCAGTGTTTCCCTGGCTGCTCCGCACACAGTGAGCTCCCTCTCCTGTCTCCCTCTTCCACACCTTTCTCCGCAGTTTAACTCCGGAATCTGAAATGTCACAGTGGAACGGCTCTTTCCACAGGCAGTCGGTGACTGAGAATGCTGGAATGTTGCTATAGTTGGTCTCTATAACAGAATTCCCAGGAATTCTTGAAATCACCTTCAAGGGTGTGGGATGTATGATGTCACAAACAGGCAGTTTTCTATACTTAGAGAATTCCTTCTTCGGTTTGAATTCAGGAGCTCCTCTTTCCCTTCAGTTGTTTTTTACACAGGGGCCTCTCCCACTTAATGTAATGTCAAACTGTTTAAAAATGTAATTGTTACTCTGCATGTGCTGGTTTCCACTGATCTAATAATGCATCTTTAAAACTTAAGAGTCAAAAGATATGATTCTGGTTGTGCACCCAGGAGTGTGAATTTTGGAAATGATACTAGTGATCATGCACACTTCTGACCTTGTGCCCTTTTTTCATGTTTTTGATTCACAGTATCAGTATTATTATCATTTTCATTTTGCAAGACTCTCCAAAACTGCGTCCACAAAGGGTGCATTACCATTGGATATTGTGGTTGTTGCAAAGCTAATTAGGTTCTGTTCAAACTTCAGTGCCAAGCTGTGTTGCAGCTAAGATCTTAATTAAGAAGAAAACCAAAAGGATCCACAGTCGTGACAACAAAAGGTCCCATTAATTTTGTGTGACTGAAAAATAAAACTGCATTTTTTGGACTGTGTATGTGGAGCACTAGTTAGGGGTCTGGACTTGTAACTGTAGTTTTATGAGCTCAGATCTCAGGTGGGAATGCCCTTGAGCAAAGGTGCTCTGCTTCAGTGAAACGCCCTGCTGTATTAATGGGTACTCTCCAGGTGGTCATTGCAGATGTGGAATTTCCGAGTTTACAGATCTAGAAAGTAAATGTTTTGTTGTTATTATATTTTTTTCTAAAGCCAATCTTCTTAATATTTTCAAAGGCTGCCCTGGCAGCTGCCCTGCCCATTCTGAACCCTTTTGTTTGCTTATGCCAGCGTCACACTACGCGACTCGACACGACTTCTAATCGGAGAGCATGTGAGATTTAACGACTGCAGTTGCTGAATCTGGCTGCCTTTCCTGTCCTAGAGGGTGTCAAGTTATACGACTAGGAATCGCAGGGGGTGCCTAATCACACGATTCCCTCGCGACTTTTCATCACGGTTCCAAATCTCTCGTTGCGCCGCGAAAGAACCGCAAGGTCGCCTCATTCCGGCAGCCAATCACCGTGGAGCACAAGAGGAGCACCTGCACGAAAGTAAACAAACAACATGGAGAACAAGCAGGCAGTTGCTGCCTCTGCTGTAGCCTGTGCTCTCCTTTGTGACGAGAAAAAAGAAGGGGATACGCCGAAAAACACAAGATAGACCACATTTGTTTGGTTGTGGACAATACGGTTTGACCACCATTGTTCTTCACTGATTGTGGGCATTGCACGCATTCTACTTCCATGTTGAGCGCTCATTGGCTGTTGACTGTCGCAGACACCAGTCTTACAGAGCCCACCAGTTTGATTTTGTCGTAGCGAGTTGCAGAGAGTCGTAGGGGCTGTTAAGAGCGCTATGACTGAATCGCTGGGGGTGTCACACTACACAGCTAACGGTCACGGGCGCGAGCTGCGACTCTCTACAACTCGCTGTGATTTTCTTACGATTATGTAAATGAAGGCTACGACGGAAAATTCTAGGAAAAGCTGTGGAGTGTGACGCCGGCATTACCCGGCAGGCAGGCTTCCCTCACTCCAGGACAGGGATCTGGGACGGGATGGAAGCGTTCCGTGCGTTTATTCCCCCCGTGCGGTCTCTCCCGCAGGTGTCCAAGGCGGCGGCGGACCTCATGGCGTACTGCGACGCCCACATCCGGGAGGACCCGCTCATCGTGCCGGTGCCAGCCTCCGAGAACCCCTTCCGGGAGAAGAAGTTCTTCTGCACCATCCTCTGAGGCCCCCGCCGGGCCGAGCAGCGAGCCTGGGCTTCCTGAGCGCCCAGCACCTTGACCACACGCAGGAGTTAACGAGGAGCCGAGGAGGAGTTCTGAGTCGGCCCCCCCGTTAAAAGCCGCCTCAGTTTGGTGACTGCAGGAGTCGCATCAGTCCAGTCGCTGGTGTCGTTTGGTTGTCTGTGTTTCGTTTAGGTTCGTTATGCTTATTAGTAGAGAACAGCGTCGCTCATTGCCTAAAGAGAGATTTTTGTTTCAAACGACTAGACTTTCTCCATGGGCCTCAGGCAAGAAAACACAAGAAGAAGAAAATACTCCCGAGTGCTTTAAAACAATACACAACACGAGCGAGACAGTGGCGTTCCAGAACAGGAGTTGAATCCCAAGATAAGATGAAATGTGGTTGGTAATGGGGGGTGGGGAGACTTTGCAAGATAAGGCAGATTCAGGACAATCAAGGGAGCAGCTGAAAATCAGGTCTAGATTTTAACAGATGCACAGGGGAATCCTTTCTCCCCGGCTGTGCCTGACCTTTTTTTTCCTTTTTATGAGGTACATTAATTTCTTGACATATTCCTACTCGTTAAAATATTGGTACAATGTATTTAAGTTAAAATTCCTAATTGTCAGCAATAGATTTTTATGCCGAGTTGATTTTTTTTTTATAATTGACTGATGTTAACTAATCTGAGCAATTACTGTGAAAAGGGCACAGCTACCTTTTAGTATTATGATTTGGACTATTTCCATTGCAGCTGCTCTTACATTTGCACGCTTGTTGATTGCATTGTGAGACTATTACAGACTGAGCCTCCTCCACTTCTCCTGTTTTCTGTCCTCTATAACCATCTCTTCAATCACATAGCTAAAAGAAATCACATTTCAGAGAGACCACATTCTGCTCCCTGTTAAATGTGATCAGATATAAGACTCGAGCCTGCTGATTTAAGTCCTGTAAAGGTATTTTGAGATTTTCTGAAAGTCACTTGGCTTTTGACTAATGCACATCCAAATTTTTGGCCACTTAAATGTTCTCCAGTCATACTGCGCTTTGAGATGGAGAGACCCTTGAAATGAAAATAGTTACATTGGGGATCTTTAATAAACAGTGATCTGTAATGCACTAGGATAAGACACAATGACAGCCATGTTTCTATCAAACATTAGAATAATCATGATTGATTTGGCTTTTCCAAGCTGGAAAGTAATGTTCAGAATAAGCCCCAATATAAGTCTACCTTAAAGGAATTAATGTCGTCTCACCTTGAAGTGGAAATACTTCTGTGTGATGTTCTGGAAGTCTTTTTGCTTAAATTTGTTTTAATCAGCTAGTGTAGTGTTGCAAAGAAAAAAGGCACATCTTCAGGCAGAGGTCATTGTGGAATTGAACAGTCCACTTCAAAGACACCTGGCTAACGCACACTGTGAAGTACTGTGGTTAGGGTGCCACGTCGCATGCTCCAGAACAATCCCTTTTCTTTACAACAGGAGACTGGCAGGTGGTAGAGCTCCATTGTGATTCTCCTAAGCAGTACAAAACCACCAACAGCTGGCCTCTTTCCCACCCTGACTGGCCCTGGTGAAGGAGAATACAGCATTAATGGCACTGGCTGGGTTTGAGTGTTATTTAAACTAGACACATTCCAGACTTGTGGCCACTCTGGTAAACAATGGGCCATGCGTGGTAATCTGATCATCTGTCATTATGTAGGGAGAAACTATACGCCAGTGTCCCGTGGAACACAGAAAACATAGTGAGAAACACAATGCAATGCAACAACAGAACAAGAGCAGATGATTTGCTATTTAAAATAAAAAAAAGAGGAGAAAGCACACCCAGTGTTATTGAAATGGCTTCTGATGGGTATCAATCAAAGCACCGAGATGAGCAGGACGCACACTCTCTACTCTGAGGATGTTTATTAGACACTGTCAACATTTCGGCGCCGACAAAGGCCTTCTGTCCATCTGCAGAAAAGATGACTGTGTGTTATAAAGTTCACAGGGCTAGAGAGTGTGCATCCCGCTGCTGTCATTGCTCATTTTCTTTGACTTGAATCTGCTACATCTCCATACCTTGCACAGCAGGCCCTACACGTCTTTGTTGTACTGTTCTCGTTACAGCAGAGGAAGCTCACCTGGAGCTTTACGTATAGCAGGCCTGTTTGCCATCTTAGAGAATCCACCCTGGTATAGTCACAATTAAACCCCTCCTGAACTACACATTTTCCAGTGGTGTGTGATGGACTGAATGCCAGGCTACGACTGAGCCGCGGATCAGCTATTCATTATAATTTTGGCACTATAGAGATAACTCAACCCCTTTAAAGAGTACACTGTATTATATATAATACAGGAAAGCAAATTTGTTTGTTTCTTATTTAACGAAGTACAGTAAGGGTTTAATTGAAAATAACAATTGGGGTGAACCTGCTTGTATGGAGTATTTAGAATTGCCAAAATGAATTTAAAAATACAACCATCTGTTAATGCTGGCTTTTTGTCAGCGTTTAAGGGAGCCAGACATCCAGCTTGGCATCTCTCTCCGTTTTGCAAACCTGATTTCCAGCTGGCTCAAGGGTCAACACAAAATCAAAGCCAGTGTCAGCTCTGAGGTCTTTTTCCCGCAGCACAAAAAGTAGCCTGTCGGCAAGTCCACTGAGACTGTGAGAAATAATGGGTGCACAGTCCGACGTGTTTTGTTTTGTAAAATAGCCTGTTACCTTACTTTGAGCTCCAGATCTGATTTCTGTCAGTCTGCTGGTAGGAGAGGGGAGTGGCAGGAAAAAGCCAGGGACTGATGCAGAGGAATTCAAAGGGGTCCCAGGAATCGTCTCGTTTGTTTAGGGACATTGTCCTTAACCTCTTTCTTAACTGGAGCGAATTAGAGATATATATGTGAACAAAAAAGGAACAATTTGGTTAGAACAATATAAACACCAATATAAAGACGTTTCGTTTTCGTTTAGCTTTTGAACGGTGTGTTGCGAGAGTGTGTATGCACTTGCCGAACAATGCCTGTGACCCTGATGCTGTCCAGTGAGCCTTGAAAATATTCAGCTGATTTAGCTGTTGAAGCAGCTGCAGTGCCAATATGATTTTAACTGTTCCTCGTAGACGTCAAGTGTTGCTACCCTGAACCCAGACTAGAGGCAAGATGTTCCTGAATGAGGTGTTAACTCTATCACTTAAAACCCCACCTTTTCAGAACCTTAAAGTGCATCCTATTAAATATTTTGTCCCAGTATTACCTGTACTAGCCCACAGTTGTAAATGATTAGAATACTTTGGTGTCTTGTTGGGGGTTATTGAGGACTGCCAGATTCCAGCGTTAAATAGCCATCAGTGAATCATGTCTTACTATCAGCAGCACCAAGGGGTTTGCAGACTATAATCAAAGTAATTTTTTTGGAAAGGGCGTAAAAAGCCTGTTGAAGAATGCCTTCTTGTAGTTGATATTTTCCAGAGCAAAGGTTCTTTTTAACTAGTGCAACCAGGAGAAGAGTCTGCTTCATCCAACGGTCCACTCTGCAGCACTGTGATGATAGATGGCAGGAGAGAATCCACCAGCTGCAGAGCACTGCCTGTCTTGACGCTGAACTATGTTAACGACCAGCACTCCATGTACACCTAGTATTCTAAATTGTTTAGTTATCGGTTTTGCTTCACTTCTTTACTTATTTATTGGTTTTTACTTTTATGATTATGACTTGTGATGTACCTGCAAACCCAAGTTCAGATCTGCGTGGCCCTTGCCTTACTTGAAAGGCACGAGAATGCATGTTTCTCTGCTCAATTAGGAGACAGCGTTTCTTCTCTTTAGAAAGAGACAGTAGATCCTGTTACCTGCATGTTAGATTGTCAAGTGCTGTGAGAAAGACTTATCTTGTATACTATTGTATCACAGTCTTGACTGAGAAAAAAAAAGCACAATTTTAGATGTTTCTTTTGCCGTTTTTTAAACTTGAATTTGCTCATTTTTACAAACGTATGTAGATATGAAATATGTTGCAGAGCACTGAGTATTACATGGAATGTGTGGTGCTTTAGCTTTGAAAAAAAAATAAAGAGTTCAACCTGTTTTGTAAAGTGTACAGCCATGTATGTAGCAGAAGGAAATAAACATAAAAAATTAAAAAAAAACATACACTGTCATTCTATGAGGCCAGTTTTGTATGTCATTAGTCATATTAGTGCCAATGCACAAGATAGACGGGTTTTTTATGTTGTGACACTGCAAACCTATTTTAATTCTTTATCCAGAACCTTTAGAGATTGAACTCTCAAGCATGGGTCCAACCTGAACTTCAGACCTGTATCTGTGCAGCCCAGAAAACTCTCAACATTGTAGAACAACAAATGATTTTTGCCAATGGTCTAGCTGAAAAGAAGACACACATTTATCAAATCACTTTTCTTTCTGACACCTTTCTGGCACAAACTAGCCAGTCTGATGGCACTGGGGGGTTTTATGCTGGTGATGTGTACTGTTTGTGACCTTTATTCCTCAGACCACAGATCTCTGACTTCTGTCTTCAGCGGTCTCTGCTTACTTAGTGGGCTAGATCTGACTGAGTCACCCAACAGCTTGCACCACCCTGCTCCACAGGTCTGAAACTTCTCGTGATTTAACAAAGACTGAGAAAAAAAAAACATTCTCGAGAATGCAAAACAACATCCGAAGCAGATTTTGTAATTACAGTGTCAGCGTGATGACAGAACAATGATGTAGATGGTGCCATCTTACAGTAAAACATTAAACCCAGGTTATTAAAGACCCCAGGCACATGTTAACCTCAGTGTCTAGGCTACATTCCACTCTGGGTGGAATGTACAATTGTACAATCTGACCTACACAAATTTCAGCAAATTTAGTTCAGCTGGTAAAGCAATTTCTCACTTCTCCTGATCTGCTGTGCAGTGGGGCTTGTCACGTATCATCCAGGTGAGTGCACCACTTCAGCCATTCCGGGCCTCCTATCTGTTAATGGCTTTGGAGTCCTTTTGGGATGAAAAGTGCTTCATAAAATGCAAGGAATGCGAGGAATTATTATTATTATAATAAACGGGCCTAGCACTGTACTTCATGGGTGGGTGACGTGGGTCCCTTACCCCCACATTAAGGTCTTAAGATCTCTGCACGTTGTACCGCTTTGACATTTTTCAGGATTTCTGCCAGACATTAACCTACATCTTCAACTAGACGTTGTGACAAACGTCACGAATGACGATAAAGTGATGTGGATCGGGGTCCCCCGTGTGGCGTTTTGGGAAAGTGCTGTCCACAGACCGGATGCGGAGCCTTTGTAGCACAAAAATATAGGAAAGTCCGAGATTATTTTTTGTTGTTGCTCACCGCTTACCATCGGTATTAACATTTCATGGCTGAAAGGGTCGATCACTTTTATAGATCTTAACATGAGGTGACGTATATTGTGCGTGAAATATACGATTCAAGGCTACACAGTGCATCCCCATACTCCTCTCCACCTGCCTCGTTAGGCAGTTATTGTGGTTCCGATAAGTGGTTGTTTTTTGCTTGTTCTGGTTAATGTATTAAAATGAAAAAACGACAACACATGAAAGGTCGATAGTTGTCACACAGCTAATGAAATGTTAGGAGAATTACTTTTTTTAGCAGGTATAATTAAAATTATTACCTGTTGTACATACAGTACCCAAGATCATTTAGAATGCTGCATAATTAGACTATCGTTAAAAAATGTAATGATTTTTTAACGAACGTCCATTGACATAATTGAACCGTGTACTGTATAGCTACCTTCCATATACTGAAAAAAAAATGTAATCATTTGAACTCCATATAAATATCATTTATGTATATACAACGTTTTTATTATTTTATTTTCATAAGAGTTTCATTTTTAAACACTGTAATCAAGAGTGGAAAATTCAAGAGAAAATCGACGAAATTGTTATATACTTGTTGCGGTGACCGTGAAGCACTGTGCATGTACCTAGTCAAGATGGCGTCCTCATACGCTCATCAGACTAGTGATTAGTTCATCTCGAACGCTAATGTTAGCGGGTTGGTGGCTCTCTGGTCACATGACGGTGGACTTGACTTCCGTTCCACATCCTACGTCACTACCTGCGTTGGACCCTTTTTTAGCGTCATTTAGCACGCGTCTCTTGGTTGCAGTTTGGCCTGCTGTCGGCGCCCGAAAAGTATCGTTCCTGGTCTTGACTTTAGGTGTTCCTTTGTATTCCATCTCGATATGGCAGCCGCCCCGGCACCGGTTAGGAAACGACTCCTGAAGGAGGAAGACATGACTAAAGTGGAGTTCGAGACGAGCGAGGAGGTGGATGTGACTCCAACCTTTGATACGATGGGCCTGAGGGAAGACCTCCTCCGCGGCATCTACGCTTACGGTGAGCCCGGGGATAAGGCTGGGGCCTGTTCAGTTTTGAAAGCCTACGAAGATGGGCACGCATTAATTAAAGCTTCTAGAAATGCGCAGACGGTTTGACTACAAGGTCATGTTTCGATTTTTTTCATAGCTTTTATTGAGGTGTTAAATGCTTCATTGTAGTTTACCATTGGGAAAAGTAGGCTAAATATTAAGAACGTCGTTAATGGAGGCGGAGCTGTTTGTGTTTTCGCTCCTGAGTCTGCCTTCCCTGGCGAGATCGTTGTTCTAATAGAGTTCTGTGTTGGTTTCATGTTTTTTATACAGGTTTCGAGAAACCCTCCGCTATCCAGCAAAGAGCGATTAAACAGATCATCAAAGGAAGAGACGTCATTGCACAGTAAGCTCAGCGTTGAAGAAGACGTTTAGTCTGCATGCCGATCCTGTTTGGAGCAGGGTGTTGAAAACCTGACTTTTTGTTCATTCCAGGTCTCAGTCTGGCACGGGCAAAACGGCAACTTTCTGTATCTCCGTACTGCAGTGCTTGGATATTCAGGTAAAGCTGTGTTTTTATTTCGTGCCTTTGAGGGTATTGGCGGAGCTGATGGGGGAAAAGTGCAGTTTAAAAAAAAAACAATCTCAACGTGTATGGTGAAGGGAATAATTGTGCATCGCGCCATTGAGAATTTGACCATTTTTCATCTGATTCCTTGGTTGTCTTTGTTTACTACTTGCTCATCAAATACAGAAATAGGTATTTTAGTAGTGTCCCACTTTTTTACCTCAGCTGTTGACTGCAGCTCTCTGAACTATGAATGTTCCGTTCTGTAATGTGCAATTGGCATTCCAGACTGTAGATTAACTGTTTGACACCGATATCTTGGTCTTTATGCATGAGTGGGAGATGTACAAATGTCAAACAGCTGGCTGTCAAGCCTTGAGGTGTGACTGTTGGAAGTTTTAAGTAGAACCCGTGAAGATGGGGAAAAGAGCTTTCGGTATAAGTTTGCACATCAATATGTGGAATTGCTTAAATGTCTAGATTGCTTTGATGATTGTTGTACACTGTAACAGCTGATGTTTTCATCGGTAGATGAGTGATGCATCTACCAGAAATGACATGTAATGCCACATTGTCTTCCTGCCTCAGTTTAAATGTGCCTCACAATTGTTTCTAAACTTCGTAGGTTCGTGAAACACAAGCACTCATCTTGGCACCAACCCGAGAATTGGCTGGGCAAATACAAAAGGTTGGATTTCCTGATTTATCTTCGTCTTTTCTCTCTGAAGCCCCAGATTCTTATGTTGTTCAATAATTTGTGGTGCATGATGCATGAGAGTCTTTTGCAGAAGAACTGCAACATTGTTTTTATATTTCAGGGTTAGAAAAAATCAGCATTGATAAGTGCGTTTCAAACCACAATAAAAGTAAAATGGACACAGTAACTTGTAAAATCTTCTATTTATATCACAGGCAGGTATATATACAGGTATATCACCACCTGTAATTGTTCGCGCGTACGTTACACTAGTCGTTACAGTGACTAGTGAGCAGGAAGGGCTGCTTCACGTCCCAGCTCACGGGAACTCGCACTCTTGCCCGTGGCAAGACCAGGGGTCGGCAAAAATATGGTGACTTTCAGTTTTTTCAAGATTTTGTGCTCAATTTGTAAGATTCTGTAGCATTTCTATACCTTGTTACTGGGGTTTAATAACTGGGATTGGGACTGCGGTTCCCCCGTAAATGAGATCTTTTCCAGAACGATAAACATGTTTGCTGGAAGTTAGACCTGTGATAACACCTCTTCAAATGAAGCCTTTTCTGTGTAACTTCCCAGTGAAGTTTAATGCCGCCTTCCATTCTGCCCTCAGCCTCTTGGGTAACGTCTCTTTGAAGAAAGTGGAAGCTCGAATGCCTCTCAGCCCCTGCTTTAGCGTTTTCATGGGCTGCAGGCTCAAGTGTCCGGTTATGTGGGTACAGGGGCTCCATTCAATCGGTGTGAATTGGGAAATTGAGCGTCGTGTCGGAGCCGTCACTTTCGTTTGAAATCCTCGCTAGGTCCTCCTGGCTCTGGGCGACTACATGAACGTGCAGTGCCACGCCTGCATCGGTGGGACAAATGTCGGCGAGGACATCCGGAAGCTGGATTACGGACAGCACGTTGTTGCAGGGACCCCAGGACGCGTGTTTGGTAATGAACGCATGAATTACTCCAGACTTGGTTTTTGCAGAAGCACGTCCGTCCTAAGTACGACGGGTTGCATGCATCTTGTAAACCGTTTTTGGCTTCAGATTTGGCCTCCGGCTGTGTGGTGCTCACTGTGATGTTTCTGCCTTCTGCTGCTTTCAACAGACATGATCCGCAGGAGGAGCCTGAGAACCCGTGCTATCAAGATGCTGGTTCTTGATGAAGCCGATGAAATGTTGAACAAAGGTAGAGTGATGCTGCTCTTTCCCTTTTGTGAACCTTGCATCAACAAAGTGTTCCTTTTTTTGTATTCTTGCCAGCAGCACCTGCTACCCAATTCTCCAGTCTTAGTTATATGTAGATTTTCAAAATGTGGGTAATTTCCTAATTCAGAGTATTTCAAATGTCGGATGCATTCAGTTTATATGACTGAATGGTATCAAATTTTCAGTTTTGGTGGATAATGGTTTTGTAAAGACAAATATCCCTTTTAACAAATTTCTTTTATTTACAGCACTTCGGACACATGTAGGGTTTATTGTATTGTGTACCTGTATAGAAAGCCTTGACACTGAGAGGAATGTACATAGATGGGTATCAGTATTGTTTAGATGGGTTTTTAAGGCCTTCCTGAAATCGAGTGTTAAATGTTGGTTTTTAAATGGTAACATAAACCTATTTTTTCTGTTTTTCAAGGTTTCAAAGAGCAGATTTATGATGTGTACAGATACCTGCCACCTGCTACACAGGTGTGTCTGATCAGCGCCACGTTGCCACATGAAATCCTGGAGATGACCAACAAATTCATGACGGACCCCATCCGAATCCTGGTCAAACGGTAAGAGCTCTCCGGATATAAATTTGTTGCACCAAGGAAGTTTTTTTTTAGTTCGTCTTAATGGGTTCATATTTTGGGTCTTGCTGTAAAGCTGCTCACAAGTAAATTGACTACTTTACGTATCTCTTAGCTCATATATTAATTGAGTTTCTTTTCCTTTGCCCTTATTTCAGTGATGAGTTGACACTAGAAGGCATCAAGCAGTTTTTCGTGGCTGTGGAAAGAGAAGAATGGAAATTCGACACGCTGTGTGACCTGTATGACACTCTGACAATCACGCAGGCTGTCATTTTCTGTAACACCAAGAGGAAGGTTTGTGCTTTTCTGAAGAGCAGAACAGCTTAGTTGACATGTTTTGGATTGGAAACAGTGGCATTTTGTCACATTTTAGTTTTTCGTGCAGTATTTTACAGAGGTCATGAGCACACTTTGGTCCAGTTAAATCTTAGATTTCAGATAGTTTTCAGAATAAATGATGGTTGGATTACAATTTGTGGCCATGAAACTCTGGCTTCAGTTAGACTTATTGGTGGGGTATACTTAGGTCTGGTGTATGGACAGAAATGGCAAAAGGGAAGGGTTTGATTTTAAATTGGTAATCGGTCAAGTGGAAGTTAGTCCTTACTGTACCATAACCTTTCCCACCAAAGCCAGGACTGTGCAAGTGCTGGGGGAATCGGAAGTGATAGAGAGTCGTTGCTTGGTCTCTTTCAACAGTCCCCATAATGAAAATCTCACAGACAGCTGGGGGTACTTGAATGGCATCTGCTTCTTTCATTTTTAACATTACCTTGTTAGTACAAAACAGTAGCTGCATTTTAGTTGTAGACTCCTGTATATGGTACTGACTCTCTTTGTGGTCTTGTTTTTGTCGTAACTGTAGGTGGACTGGCTGACCGAGAAGATGAGGGAGGCCAACTTCACAGTGTCCTCGATGCATGGAGACATGCCACAGAAGGAGAGAGAATCCATCATGAAAGAGTTCAGATCGGGTGCAAGGCATGTAAAGAAGTTACTTTGCTAGTTTCCTCAAGATGGTCTGCCTAACCGATGCCTGTCAGGGGAATGTGTATTTGGTTTAAAGTATGTAACCTATCTAAAAGGTGACTTTGCTTCTTTTTTTTTGTGAGGCAGTCATCTCAAATAATAGAACCTACTTTTGGTTCGATTAGTATAGGTTTATTGTGGCTTTAGGTTTAAGCTACCCTCAAAGCACTGGGCAAAACTCGGTCAACCAGTCTTAGGTGTAGAAGAGTGGTTTTAACCCATGTCTTTTCTTTTTCAGCCGAGTTCTCATATCCACAGATGTCTGGGCCAGAGGTCTGGATGTGCCCCAGGTGTCCCTGATTATCAACTACGATCTGCCCAACAACAGAGAATTGTACATTCACAGGTATTGTCCCTTGATAATTGAGTGTCAGGTGGCATATTTAAATAGCCATTACAGTCTTGGGGAATGGCTTCTACCTCATCATGGAATTGGCCTTAGGTAGCCCATCGTGTGAACCAGATGTTATTCATTTGATGCACTTATGTGCTCATCTGGACTCTTTCTTCATGAATATTAAAATGAAACTGGACATTTTGGTCTGTTCATTGGTTATTTTCAATAACTTTGCCCTGAACATGGAGCTGATGCACCTCCTTACCTTTCAGAATTGGACGATCAGGGCGTTATGGGCGTAAGGGTGTTGCCATCAACTTTGTCAAGAATGATGACATCCGAATCCTTCGGGACATTGAACAGTACTACTCAACGCAGATTGACGAGATGCCAATGAACGGTAACTTTCTGCTTGATTTTGGTTGCAGTGCAGTGGTTAGGGAGCAGGGGTACAGTGGTTTATTAGGTTCTTCTACCCTTGTGTGTTTTTCTCCGAGGTGGGTTTCTTTTGTCTTCCAGGTGTGGCAGTTTTCCCAAGACTGGGTTTAGTTTATAATGTATTTGTTTTTAAAACATGTAGCAAACATTTATTTGAACCAGTCTAAATTCAGAACCTTGAGGTACCCCTGTCTTCTGGGTTTTTCCTTCAGCTCATTTTAAGTAGCAAGGTGATCTGATCCTTTCTTGCAGTTTGATTTTTTGGTTTTGTTTATGCTTGAGGTGAAATGCCTATAAACACACAGGGCTATAGTTGTCTAGGATCTGGACTGCTTATATATGCTCTACCATAGCTTGGGAAATTTGTATACAAATCCACTTTGTCTTAAGAAGTCAAAACTAAACACATGCAATTGAGCTGCTAAAACTTTTTATATTTTAGTAGTTTACTGTACTCATTGACTAACTTAATTTGTTTCTCTCCAGTTGCGGACTTGATCTGAAGAAGCTGGAAGATATTGAGGCCTGGAATTCCAGTATATCTTTGTTTGGGACTTTTTATATTAAAACCTTGAGTTTCAGACCCTGCTTTTGTTTTTTTTAAGTTTTATTGGTAAGAATCTTTTGCATCTTTTACAATAGTGGATATTGTAATATGTCACTGCTTATATTAGACTTGTAAATAAAGTATTTGATTAATGATTCACTGTGATCCATTTTATCTTGCTCTGTAATAAAAGGACTGCCCAGTGCTTAATTTTTGCATCTTTTTTTGGACTTTATTAAAATGATACAGCTATGGGCTGTTGAAATTCATTTGAACCTTTTGTGAACTTCTTGTGATAAAAACAAATCATGGCTTTGTATTTGTAGCCTTCACAAAGCCTAAAGGATTAAGGAATGTGAATTTGGCAAACAGAAGTGGCAGCAGCTTTGTTTGAACTTGACCATTGAAGTAACTGCATCTCTTTATCATGTAGTTGTGCTTAAATTCTATAACTGTGGATGTGTCTCTCAACTATGGTGTGCCAGAGGCAGTGGGCATGGTCCATTGCATTATATGCCTGTTATTTTGTCATGTCTTTGTAGTTTTCATATGCAGTGCTCTCAGGTACTATTTCATTTTGAAAAATGCTCCTGCTGTGGTTTTGACCCATGGTTTATCTTTAATATCGAATAGGTGGTGCATTTAATTCTAAATGAAGTCCAAGACACTCATTGTGCACAATTATATTGTTGTGACAGTTTGAGGCATAAGAATGATTAAAATCAGTTCCCCATGACTGCATCTATCTTACTGCAGTTAGATCAATAACTCTAGGCAACCATGGTTAGGGTTGCAGGGAAATTGCCATACAATATTGGTACTAAATGTTTGCCTTGGACTGCTCATTTATACCTCTTGCCAAGCCACACTATCTAACTCTGAAGTCCCCCCCTCCACCTGCTGCAAAACTAACAAATAGGGGTGAGACAGTGGCAACAGACACTTACATTAAAACAAATTAAGCTTTCTAGGCTTTTCTCAAGATAAAGGTAAGAGATTTAAGGTGAGGGGGGAAAAAAAGACCCATTTTAGAGTTGAATCAGATACATTTAATAAAATCCTACCACCATAATTGACTGGGTAAAATTACTATTTAGCACAATCATTGAAATGGAGTGCAGAATAAAGTCTGGTATTAAAACCTGGGTGATTAGCCATAGGTAAGTAAACTAGAGTAACACACTTTTGTAAATCTCACTTTCATGACATCCTTCTTTCAGAAGTGACCAGTTCACTAAAGCTAATCCTTAGACAATTTGTTTTCTAAAGTTGATTAAAAACCATCAGTTGCACTTGAAGGAAGAACAAGGCCAATATAGAATTCTTTTATTGAAAAGGGAAAACACTAAACAGCAGATCACCACATAGGAAGCATTTCCCCCTGGGAAAGAAAGTGCTTTTTTCTTTTCTAGTGAACCTTGTAAAATCTATTTTAAGGACAAATAACATTGTTCAAGGCTTATTTATTAGAAGACATTGTCCAGAAATCAAATGACACTGAAAAGGGACAAGCAGGAAGCACCATCCAGAAGCTCCATCAAGAAAACACCCCTTACTCCCTCTTTGAAGTTATTTAACCTCAAAATAAAAATCAAGGTTTTTTTTAAAAGCAAGACATTTCACAACTAACCCAATAGGACCTGATCTCCCTTGCTTCCCCAATTTAATCTGCATGAATTACTATAGTTTGATTTTATGTACTGAAAATAAATTACAAGAAATAACTTTAAAAAGCAACAAAAATAAAGAAATCAAGTTCCACTAGCATTCCAATTTGCTTTGCCAGGAGGGGTGGAATTACAGTGCCCAAGGCAAGATATTTCACATTGTTTTAAAAAAGCATTCTCACATTTACACCAACCACAAAACATTCCTTTACATTAACTGCACTTTAGCCTACTACAGAATCTTTTTTCAATAAACTACAAAAACCTTTATAGAAAACTGGTATTTATATATTTATAGTTCATATACATGCCCTATCTCTGAGATCTGATAAAAAATCTAAACTGTACAGACATGAGCTTGTAGGCAATGTATTTTGGATGGAATTGTCACAAACATTGGCATAATCAATTTACATTAGTGCTATGTTACAGAAAAAAAAAAGAAAAGTCACCTTTAGTACAGCTTTTCTTTGATAAATCCTTTTAGGGCCAGTCTGCAGCTATGAAGGCAAGGCAATGTACAGTTGTGAATTAATTTCCTCTAATTACAGTAACTTTACCTTGATGTTGTGCGTGCCGTGTAGATCTGATATCATGCAATGTTTAATACTGGTACACACTAAAATTGTTATTAAAAATGTAGTGGCTCGAGGCTTCGCAAATCTGTTTCCACTGAGGATCTTTAAATTTAGTCCAGACAGGCTCACAAAAAGTCACTAGGACAAAGGTTTGCTTGAGTTAAACAAAGCAGCTGCAAAGCTGCCTTTCCCTGAAATACCCTTTAAACCAAACCAGTGCAATCCACTTATAAAATTCTGCGTACAATAGAGATAAAAAATTCTAAACCAGCGCTCACTGTCCCACTGTCATGGGGACAAATCTCAATTCCCAATCTAATCAAAAAGTGGGCGACGCATCAACCTTGTCACATTTAGCAAGAACATCTTTCCCCCACTTTGAACCAAAAGAAAGACTGCAACAGTTCGCCAGATGGGCATCTTCAGAATTGGTGGCAGCATTCGGTGAAGCCGGCTCAGCTCTTAATTCTACATTAGAGAGCAAACTTTGGTTCAAACAGTCCTCAGTCTACGACGAGCATTCGAGTTACAACAGAGTCGGATTAAAGGCGCCTGCGATCGGGCCTCTCAGTGTGCCTTTAACTTGGCGTGCTGGGTGACCTGCCCTGCTATTGCAGCTTTGATGGGGTTGGCCACAGTCTGTCTCATGTTGTCTTCCATAACATGATCACTCAGGGGCTTCAAAACCTGAAAAGTGAGAATGTGCGACAGGAAAAGAGTATGGTAAAACGAGGCTAAACTCAGAGGGGAAAAAAAACCAAAACAAAGTAAATCTGGACATGAATGAAGAAAAAACAGAAACGGTAAGAAAATAAAACATTTACTTATAAAAGATACCCTTTTACTCAAATAAAAAAAAAGTAAACGATGGCAATGAGAAGTTTGATGTGAAGATCACACAAGAATAACCAGAACATCCACCCCACTCCCACCAACTGTCCCCCCAAACCTCTTTAAAAAAAAACAGTTCAAAAGATCTAGGTGCAAACCTGTACTCTACATGTGGTGTGAGCCAAGTAGTCTGCACAGTATTTATCTAGACCTGCTTGGCCTGTCCACAGCGCTGACAATGTACTTTATAAAAATAAAAGACGAACACCCAGCTCGAGAACAAAGCCAAAAACTAAAAAACAGCTAGTTTTTCTTCTTGTTATTGTTGGTTGAGGACAGTCTCTTTCGCGTGGCAGGTACAAAAGAACGCCTTGCCATTCGACTTCTCAACAATTCAAACAGCTTGGAAAACACCTAAAAGAGGGAATGGGTCAAGTTAGCAGCAGACATGTTAAAGAAAACCAAATAAAGTTGAAGCAAGGAAAAAAGCAAGGGTGGGATGTGCCATCCTGTCTCACCTTTCTGGGAGTCCTCTGTGTAGCAAAGGAAAAGAAGCAAGAACAGGGTTAGAATAAGAGAAAGGTTAGGATTTAAAGCAGGGAAATGTCAAAAGAGACCGATAAATCAGGCAAGCAGCAATTCATGTCATCACTGAAATGTGTGGATCTTGGATCAAGCTCTCTCTAATTTGCGAGAGGTTAACTGCACTGCAAAACCCCCCCAAGAGGCCAGCAGCACACAAAAAGGTTGAAGGGGAGAGGGAATTATTCTGTAAACCAAAATCAGTCAAAATGGAACACTGGATTAGAAATTCTCAGATAAACTGGTCAAGTTACATCAACTAGTTTCCTAATATTCTGGAGATCTTCTGAAGTCTGAAGGCAAAAAGGTGCAGAAAACCGTGCCTTCCAAAGTACGCCTAGGCGTGGTGTAGTTTTATCTTCCAGTGGACTGGGCAAGGCATTCATCTTAATGTACTACTTTGCTTTGCATGATTCTTACACTAAAACCACTGGAGATGCAGTTCTAACCAAATATAAGTGTTTCTACAACATTTGTGAACTCTGATTTTGGTGTACAAAGATGGAAAACATTGTTCATTGTTTATGAAGCAAAAGCAGGTTGCAAAGCTGAATTCAACAGGACAGATGCAAGACGAGTAAATTGGCTTCAACTTAAATGGTCTTTACAGCAGCTTACCTCATACACTATATAAGAATAACCTACTACCTGGGTTAAGATGCATTTCCTCACAAACGTCACTTTCATACATTCTCCCGAAAAATCTTGCAGAAGTTCAAGTGACTGTTTAATAACAGCCGAAGCAATCCACTCGGACACTTCTCCCGAAAACAATTACCTCGCCTCGATCTTGAGCGGGAATCCAAAGTCAGAAAGGACAACGGAAGAACAGCCGACACCCACCTGCTCCCATAAGGTCTCCGCCAGCTGATCGATGAGCATCCCCACTTCTCGGAACTCTCCCGAGTACTTCACGTACGCCCAGGTGCACAAGGACACAAGAGCTACTCCCATGATGAGGTTACAAAGGGTCGCTACCGGGTTCAACCCAATAAAACCAGTCACTCCTGAGACGATGTACATGGCCACCATAACGGCAAACAGAGTGGCTGGCGTGCGGGCGGCGAAGAAAATGTTTTTGCTGTCGTTGTGCTTGACAAAGTTTGCATAGGCCTCGTCGATTTCCGCCTCGAGCTGGTCCTGGTAGCGGCGGCAGAACTCCTCCCCTCCCATCTTCTTCACGGAGCAGAACTGCCTGACGCAGGACTCCCGGAAGCCCTCGTGCCTGCGCTCCAGCTCGCTGGGAGAAATGTAAGGCTTGTCCCCGCCGCAGACCTGGGCACGTTACAGGACAGGTTAGTGGCGGCGGTCGTACTCTGGGCCAGGACAGAGCGAGCCGCGTGGCCCTCGGAGCGCTCGGCTTCCTCGAGGAACACGCAGGAGCCGTGCCGTTCCCTCCAGCAGGTGACCCAACCGGTGTCAGATCGACCGCAGTCATTTGGGGGTAAAGGACTCCGGAATTTCTCCTATATGCTTATTTCCTCTTGAGCTAAAGCTAGAACCTCATTCAATGGACAAGCCTTTTCCTCAGTCAAAAGTAAGGTCAGGTAAATGTTACACAGGTTTAAAACACTCCAGTGTGAGGTGCAATAGACCCTAAAGTAAGGCATCTATCGGATTAGTGAAAAGGAAATCTATTGACCTTAGAACCTCCACTTAATTGCAGTTTATTTTCAAGTCGCTACACGATTGTTTTGCTTTTTTACCGTGTGCCTGCACTTAAGGTTCATCAGATTGCGGCGTTAATCAAGCACGTCCACCAAGAGCTGCAAAGAGCATCTTCAGAACTGCTGCAAAGCCAGGACATGCCTACCTGCTCCATGCTTTTGTTGTAGCCATCTTTTGCTCCTGCAACAGCTGCAAGGTTGTTGGCCTCAGCAGTTGCCTGGGTATGAACACAAAGCACTTCATTACCTGCCACACCAGGACAATGTAATCGTCCATTTTCAACAAGTGACAGTCCACAATTTAGACCCGAATAAACCTCAAGACTGGATTGGTGTTTGATGGAATTGTTCCATCCTGGGGTTTCTGCAGGAAATACTGGGACTGTGAAATGTTATTCAAAGTGCAGACAATCCTTTCGGACTATAGGATGATTTTCTGTCATTTTCACAAATGTACCCGAAATTCACGCAACATTCTTGATTGCACAATCTGTTGCTATAATAAACTTTCATGTCTGTTGTTACTGTGCAGTAAAATAACCAATAAGAGATTAAGAGTAGTTCACAACTGGGTATAAATATGACAATGAGATACAGGGATTGGGATCAATAAGCTTCTAACAATGTTGGCACTACTTTATGCAGACATCTTAGTGTGCATACAAATGCCCTAAATAGTGTAGTAGGTTTTTCAGTTTTCTGTGAAAAAGGGAAAACTGATCCCATTAAATGAAGGGAGGACCTAGAGTGTTCATCATACACTCACTGGCTAAAATATGAGGAAATCCCAGTCAAATAAAATAGATTCTCCCAGTGGCAAGCAGACCATATGTGCTTGACTTGAAAAGACAAGACGATTCCAACACCTCCCTTGGCTGAAGAATTCCCATGTCAACCCTACTGAAAACCAGTATCCGAAACACCCGCTACCCTCATCCCAGAGTGGGATGAATGGGACTAGGCTGCAAATATGCCAACATTGGATGAAGGAGGTTCCTAGGATTTTCTCCAGCGAGTGTAAGTAGTTGAGTGTGTGGGGGAGAGAGACAAAAGCACAGCTCAATAACCTCCATCTCAAGCAAGTAATTCTATCAATTCACTGCAGCATTATTTGTGTATAATTAAAAAAAAAATTAAAAACAAGTGTAGGAGCAGTTGACAATCCAGTTACCTGCAACATGGATTTGGGATGAGGGAGTTCCTCTCCTTGATATATCCGGATATATGCCTAGAGATTAAAAAAAATACATTAAGGAACAATATCCGTGGTGCTAAAATGAAGGCAAAAAATGATATTTACTTACTTTAAAATACTCCACGAGATCTCTGCAGGTCACTTTGGATCCTCCAATTTCTTTTTCTACCAAATTCTTGGGGGCTAGTAGCAATGGCACAAGAGACTGCAGCTCCTTCTTGAAATCACCATCTATATCTAAACATCACAGTAGAGCCGCCAGTAAGTTCATACCATGCAGAAAAGAACAATCCTTCCCATATTTTTTGAGTAAGCCAAAGGCAGAAAACACTATGGGAAATACATTTTACACCATTGAAAGTCGATAAGGTACACACAATTTATTGACTAAAAAAAATTGACAAAACTGGCAATAAGTTTTAAAATGAGAAAAGCCAACTAAATGCACCTGCATTGTTCAGAAATGTGAAATATCCAAAATAATGCTGGCCTTTCGCTGCAGACTATGGTTCTTGGCTAAAGGTGTAATTTCCTTTGAGTTCAATTAGCTCTTGATGTGCAAAGGACAAGACTCGGATGGAACAGAGTGGAGACCAGGCAAGATCTTCACGTACTGGAAGTCCTGGAGAGCAGTTCCTTCTCGCTTAGAGTGGAAGCAGACGAAGGGCTTGATGAATTTTGGGGTGAATGTGAATGCCATACCTCTTAATCTTCCATCAAAGTGGGGATTAGTGGCAACTTTTAGACCAGGGTGTGGCAGCAAGAAACAGCCGATGTCGGAGAAACAAGAATGGATGTGTTTCCTTACATTCTGGAGCTCCTCATGCTGGTTCTCCTTCACCTGTCGACAGGAGGCGAACGTTGAAAACCCTCTGAAGAGCTATTCTGAAGCCTTGACAGATGGGTAACCCCTATTGCCTGCTGCATACACAGTACCCTCCAGCACGAGATGCTCTTTTTATCCCACAAAATAACCAATGGCAAGTCTGGCTTGGAGGCCATTTCACTCGTAGCCTTATGTAGGTTAATGAAAGCTGAAGCAGGGCTTAAGCAACTGACAGAGAGCAGGGCTCCTTGATAAATACTCTGCAATGCATGCCTCAGCCTCTCAGCAACTCTTCTGAAACAGCTACGATTTCACTGTGCTCCCCGATGTATAGGAAACTCAGACATTTCCAGTTACCCACCCCAAATTATGCAACAAACCACTTTTTTTTAAAAAAAAAAAGGATGTTGCACTCACCTGCAATCTCTTCTCCAAAAACTTCTTTCCTCCATCCAGGCCGTAAGGATGTTCGTATGGATAGCTCCAGTCTCGAATAAGAAACATAAGTTTCTGGGGGGAGACAATGAAGATGGAGCATCAATGCTCATGTTTCAAATTGACAAAAAAAAAATGCACTCTCCTAAACTCTCCCAGCTTGTGGGAAGGGAAGATTTGACTCTCCAGGTAGGAATAAAAGTTGGGCTCAAAGAAAAAAAAAAAACTGAAAAGTGTATTTTGAAGAATTATTTGAAAGAAAAGGTTTGATACAACCATCAAAAATGTTGGCAATTTCTTTCTGCTAAAGGAATAATTTGTATTTTAGAGACTGTGCATGATGCATGAGGAATGTAAGCAAGCCTAATGATTTAAGGGCTGAAGGGGCCAGAGCATGGTCGCCCGCTCATGGTTTTGACTTCAGCCTGGGCCTTCACACCTTCTGTGTGGCGTCTGCATGCTTGTCACATGACCGGGGGGGTTCCTGCCACAATCCAAAGGCGTGCCAGCCAGGTTAACCGGCCCACATCCCCAGCCAGCCATAACCCAGCCCACTGTCTGCAAGGACAGGCTGTGGCTCATCATGACCTCTTCTTGTACTAGATTGTTACTGAAAAATAAGATACATGTTCATCACCAAAGGCAATCCGAGAAAAACATACCTGAAAGGGTTTCTTGTAGATTTCCTCCATAGCAAGGCGTCCATATTCCGTAAAGAGCTATAGACAAATAACAGAACAAATGATGAGCTTCATCTTAAATGATTTTTTTAAAAAAGATCTAGATCTGTAGATCTTTGAAGAGATTTCAAAAACCTGATGGATTCTGGAGTCCTGTTTTCCCACTACTCAGTTTCAATAACCTACTTTAAGCACAACAGTAGTTAGCAAATTTGTGACTTGTGATTAACACAGCGCTCTCCAATACTTTGCTTGGAGTCTAACGAAATCAAGTTTGCATCCTATATTTACAGTGTTTGCATGAATATGTAATGAATATAGTGGGGGGGAGGGGGGGGTATACCTACCTGAAGATGTTGAAGATCATCTTCCTGTATGTTCTGGGACAAGTTGTACACCTGTAAAAGACAAATTTAAACATAAAAACCGAGGCACAGACCTCTCCCTGCTCTTCACTTAACCCATTTAAAAACACCACTTCCCTGAAGATTAAAAGCTTCAATATTGCTTTTTAACAATGCAATTACCTGCACCCCTCTGTACAGGGAGATGAGAGTTAAACTGCTCATACTGAAGAGTTGATGAAAAACCACAAACCTGTACTGAGCTGGTCATGGTGCTCAGTGCAAACACAGTTGCACAATCTTTGATGGTTGACTGGCTGTCAAAGGCCCCCTGAGTGTCAATTAAAAGCACTGCGACCTACAAAGGAGATAAAGGTCATTTACCACGTGCCCAACCATACACAACATCTGCAGCAGACACTCTGCACTGCCAAATATAATTACAGGGACACGAGAGGCTGAACATTTAATAAGAGAAAAATTAACTGGTAAAAACGGATTATGAACAGCCTCTAGTATGTACAGGAAGTATGCACATTGTTTTAACAGGATTCCAAACACATTCACTGGCAAATCAAGAGAATGAGCCAAGCGAGCCAGTTGTGGACTGGAGTGAATGGTGAAAACTGTGAAGCGCAGTTAAGAGCTCACTTATCTGTTCTACGAAAGAGTAAAACTGTGGGACCAACGGAAAAGGATCTTTCGGATGAACAGGTAAACCCTTCACTGCGGGCAGATTCACCTTGCTTCCATCGGGCTTTTCCACCACAAAGACTTCGCTCCAGACCTGAATGCCGGTGGTTTCTCGTTCACAGCCCCCGCGCCAGGTGAAGCCGGTCAAGGGGTCTTCATGGCCTCCCAGCCAAGAACTGGAATTCTAAGGCAAAGAAAACAAAAACCATTTATGCCCCTTGACCATGGCCTGTGAATGTTAAGACATCGGCAGTGCCAAGCTGTACCACTGGAGGGCACTGTGCCATCAGCATTCATAAAGAAAGAGCTCAAATCAAACCACACACACCAGGGAACTACATGGACTCAGCCAACATCTAATTCACACAATTACTGGAAACAGGTTATATGCCCTGATAGGGTTAACTTTCATACTGTGCAGAAATTGGCTGGTTACAAAAGATTTCAGCAGGCTGCAAGAAAGCCCTGTGATTCTTCTGAAAGACCAGCGAGGGCTTCTTCAGGGGTTACATACCCTGACTTGCTCTCCATGAGACACGGGGAGAGAAGCCTGGGGCTGAGCGCAGGGTCAGTGTCCCTGGAGCAGTTGGGGTTCAGGGCCTTGCTCAGGGGCCCAACATAGTAGGATTCCTCTGCCGGCCGCGGGATACGAACCGGCAACCTTCCAGCCACAGGCGCAGATCCTGAGCCACAGAGCCACCCCTCCGCCCAATTTGATAATGTTTCAGTGTATGTGAGGAAAACCCAATCATTTATAGAACATTTTAAAAGTACCATTTCCTGCAAACAGGACAAATTCATTAAGTAATTCATGCATAAACTTGCACGTTCTTTGCAAGACTATGAACTATGTAATTACTGTACTTTGGACATTTCTGCTACAAATAAAATGTTACAGCAACACATTGTTTAAAACAGATTTAACTTAATTCATAGAATTAAGTTTCTTATTTCAAACTACAGTATGTGTATGAAACTTACTCTTAGCACTTCAAATTGTATTCATATTTGAAACTGATAATTACTGTGATTAAATGAAAACTTAAATTCATCTTAAATTAAAGCCAGAAAACATGATCTAAGCCCCTCTCTTATTTCTAAAATTGCATTTATAACACTGTTATGAAATTAATAGCTTTAAATTGAGGTTTAAAGCATAATCATCTCTAGATATCAGACTACATGAGAGCAGCAACCTTCGACCAGGGAAGCAATTAACCAGTTGTTTTAAACAAAAATAAGCAAACAATCTGCAATAACTAAAAAAAAAAATGGTTGTTTTCACATTATTTTATTTAATCTGTAACTTGCACATATAGGCCTAGGATCCCACAGCTTCTAAAAATACGAAAGAATGAGACATTTCACTGTGTGCAAACATCCCTGGCTTTTATTTAAATGGGAGAATTTTAATAATAGATGAAAACGGGTGTGGGTTAAACTAACGCCTAGCCGATTTGGAACAGCCACGTGTTTTTCACAGCTCAGCTGGCAGCTCCGAACACCGTGATCGCACACGGGGGAGAATGGGTGGGAGGGGTCTGCCCGCACTTCCTCACCCACACTCCAGCCATTCATCTTTTAAACGTCACGGGCAACACCACCCAGCTGAGCAGTCCCCCAGGTGTACATTCATGCGTCGGCTCAAAGCGTCCCATACTCACGCCAGTCTACAGAAGCACACAGGTACAACTGAAGACGCAATCAAGGATTTCAGCAAACCTTACTGTAAACCTGCTGAACGGGATGGATGTATCCACAGCGGCAGTACCACGATACTTTAAGAAACATTCGCTTTGCTGAAATAAAACCTTTTCTACACTTGGCAGGAAAGAAAGCGATCCATCAAAAGCATCGAGATGACACTTTTCAGATTTAATATTGTTATCATGCCGTGCTGGTGAACTACCCTGACAGCCGACTCTCGTTTATATCAGACAGGAATTGTCACGCGTTTCCATTTCACAGAGCTTTGCTGGTTTTTCTTAAAAGCGGAGTTGCAAAAATAAAGCGTGAGGGTAAGGGAACAGATGTCAGAAGGCAGAGATAAGCACACAGAGACGGCTCAAAGCCTCCCGCTTCCCGTTGCGCCGGCCTTGTACGCGTGTGCAGATAACGGCTCCCCGTGGGGAGGGCCCGCCCCCGCCCCCGCCCTGCCCGTGTTGGGACAGCCAATCGCAGAGGCTCTGCCAAACAACCCCCCGGCCTGGACCACACGTTCATGTGCAGCATTCTGGATGGTTTCCAGGCTGCAGTGGACATGCACGGACACTCGGTGACTTTGCTCTTGTCATTCTGCCCAGCATGGAGGTACCTTACGCATCGAGAACTAGGAGCTATATATAGTCTTGTAGAAGCGATGGGAGAAAAGACCAAAGACTACAAAAATAAGTCCAGCAGCTTGGACTGCATTTGCCCTAAACATGCTGTTGACAGAGTAGGACTGCCGCCTCAGTTACACCTCTGACAAGCATTTTACAACACCAACAGCGGAAAACAACATCAAAAAGCACAAGCATGACAAACGACAGCTATTCTCCCTCACAGCACTACCAGTCTGCTACACCGCTTCTCCAAAGTAAAACCTGGTATCAATTTGTTCTGTGCAGTGTAGGAATGAAAATGCCTATTGTCTCTCCTGGTAGTAAATACAAGCTAAAAGTTCATGTACTATAGGACATCCAAACTTTCACAAGATGCAGTAAATTGAGTGCTCTGTTGTTTTGGACAACAAAACTGTTGTAAACACACCCTAACCTTTCATCGAAATTTCCAAAGCACCTAAGGGTTTATTTTTCATTTGCACTAAAAAGGAAAAGATGGAAAGTGGTCCATGATGTCAACTTGACCATAGCTTAACCATAACTTAACCGTTCTTAATTGCTGTGAAATCAAAAGAACATCTAAAAGGACACCGACAATCAATCAAGAAGTAATTTCGTTTCTCCTTCACAGCATTAACACAAATACAAAAATAGCTCCTCCCAAGTTACCCGACCTATAAGCAGAAATCACAGCTTGTAAAGTGATCCACACATCCTGCTGCAAGCTCACCGACTTGACAAATACTGCCAGGGCCAGGAGTTCTCCCAGTCACCTCCTCATGAGGAAAACCAGCTCTTCTTCCTTCACTCAGCCCCTCACAGGTAAGTTAGGACAGCCTCCCATCTCAAGCAACTTTAAAATGCAGACGCCCCTGCCACGTCTTCGTTTTCAGAGAAGCATGAAGACGTAAAACGTGGGTATTACAGGGCACCTAAATGCATTTCTTGGTCATTTGAAAGCTCATCACGAACATGTTTTTCTTACAGTGAACTCAAAAGGAGCTGTTCATGAACTTCAGGAAAAAAAAAACACAACCTACATCTCCAGCGTCGGGGAATGCTTAAAGCCTCTGCACACTTTTTAACAAAAAAAAAGAAAACCGACAATTCTCAAACTGTGCAAAACTAGCACTCTACCAAGACCACGACAAAGACTGAAGTTAGCAATTCTAATATTATTTATTAAGATCCAATCAGAGATGCTGCAATTAGTTGTGATGACTCGGAAACCCAGCGTGAACTATGGATAGAGCGTACGATCGGAAGCAGGACTAGCCCTGGGATGCCAGGGGCATAACCCAGGGAGGAGCTTGGTCACCCCAGCTGCCACCCCATTGTAGGTCTTCAACTGGCCACCAAAAGGAAACAATTACAACGCATCTCAATGTGTTTTTGGAGAGTGTGCACAAATCCAGTACTGTAAGTGTTCGGTGCTGGTCAATACGCTGTAGATCATCCCCATGAAGCTCAGTGAAAGGTGTGCAAGAGATTTTGGCTCATGCTCGGGCATCAGCTGACCTGGAGTCAAACAGGGGCCACCAGTGTAAGCAGCACAT